ATGTGTGTTTGCACCCTAACTCCTCCGAGACTACTGGGCCAATCTCAACCAAAATTTGTACGTAAACACTGAACTATGGGGAATGTCGTATAGAAAGTCAAAATTGAACTTAACCCTATTTCTATTTTGTAATGCCTGTTGGTTAAATACTCCCAGCCTATTGAATTGATTTTCGCAGGTTGACGCTTTAGACAATGTTGAATATTCTAAAGGGATTCAAGGTCAAAGTATGAAAGTTGACGGATTGTTTCCCAAACAACCATGCTTTTCTCATGGTCAATAAGATGTAGGGTGGGATCACCTAAAAATCTTTATTTGTTGCTAGATGGAAAATAAACTGCCAAAATTGTTTACGAAGAAGCTTTGTTATAATTTAACATTTTTGAGATAAAGTTGATGTTCAAGTTATTAATTTGAAATGTATGATTTCTGTCATACTTACATTGTTTTAATGAAGGTTAAACATTCCCCATCAGTTGACAGGTATTTTCAGCTTATATATATACATAAGTAGTATTTGTTCTTGAAGTTTATCTCAAATAGCAATGTCCTCAATATTGTTACGTCTCCGTTCATTGGTTGATTTTCCGTATATTCGTTCCGACGAAACTTTAGCGACACAAGTCCTTTCTTAATAAAACTGGTTTGTTCTTTCCGAATACAACTTGTTTGTTTGTTTTTTTTAATTTTGCGCAAAGCTACACAAGGGCTATCTGCGCTAGCCGTCCCTAATTTAGCAGTGTAAGACTAGAGGGAAGGCAGCTAGTCATCACCACCCACCGCCAACTCTTGGGCTACTCTTTTACCATCGAATAGTGGGATTGACCGTCACATTATAACACTCCCACGGCTGAAAGGGCGAGCATGTTTGGTGTGACAGATTGCGAGTCGAGTGCCTTAACCACCTGGCCATGCCGGGCCCCGAATACAACTTTACGATACACTTAATTTCAACAGTCGCTCTATAACAAACGCTGTAATTCTCAACGAACGTCTCACGTGGTCGTGCTCAACAATACTCAGTTCAATTACACACACTGTTGCCGTCACTTTGTGACCGTCTTATATATACAAGAAGGACGTGGCGTGATACTAGTCACGTGACCTCGCTGACGCAACAATATGCTTGCATGAGGTACTTGCAAAGCGAACAAAGAACAAAACGTTATGAAACCTATTAACAACCTGAAGCTTAAAATAAATGGTTCTTTTATGTGTTATGATCATTTGTGTTAATTTCTTCAATTAGTTATTTCATGAAAATAGTCTACATTTGGAATGGATGTCTTTTGCGTCAGCACTAAATTTAAAGAATTAACCAAGCAAATTGGATTAAATATATGGGAAAGTCTAACAATAATTAACGAGATAATAATTTTTTGTACAGTATCATGTTAACTATTTGTTGTTGTTGTTATTTGAATAAATGCGCTTGTTTTGCTCATATTCTGAAATGTTACAATAAACATTATTTTCATAACAACTATCTTTCATAATCCCTCTCCCCTCCTCGAAAACTTTCATGATACCTGGGCTGCAGTGAGCCCTGAATAAATTTCATCACCCTCTCGGTGAGCTTATCTAATGGTGGTGTTGATGTATCTTTGTGAAACATGTCCGCCTACGTTTAAAATACTCTTACATTATTTGCATGGGTCTTTTTAATGTTTACTATTTGATATTTTGATACATTATTGTTTGTACCAGGATCTCATAACTACTAACACTTTATTCACATTGTATTGTTTGTTTGTTTGTTTTGAATTTCGCGCAAAGCTACACGAGGGCGTTCTGCGCTAGCCGTCCCTAATTTAGCAGTGTAAGACTAGAGGGAAGGCAGCTAGTTAACACCACCCACCGCCAACTCTTGGGCTACTCTTTTACCAACGAATAGTGGGATTGCCCGTCACATTATAATGCCCCCACGGCTGAAAGGGCGAGCATGTTTGGTGTGACGGGGATTCGAACCCGCGACCCTCAGATTTCGAGTCGAGCGCCCTAACCATCTGGCCATGCTGGGCATTTACATTGTAACAGCTACTATGCATTCTCATTTAATTTTGTCTGAATTCTTCAAATATTGAAATACCACATTTGAGGTTATCCGACTTTACGATTGAAGATGATCCAGTTAAATAAATAAAACATTAGTCTGTACTGTAACCTAATTTTGCCAAAAAACAATGCCAAAAAGTTTTCATCATTTTTTCTTTAACTGGGGGGTTTTTGAAATACTTATAAATATTGTCCGGTCCTCATAGCGATAACGAATTAAATTATTACTTCAATAACGTTTGCTAAAGGCTACATCTACTTTCACACAAGATTTGGTTTTTAAACCTAAGTTCACAAATAAAATTTCAATAGAAACTCCAGTACTAATCTACGCTTAATTTAAATACTTTTCACTAGAAATCCCTTGATAATTGATCGATAACAAACACATTAACCAAGGCCCGGCATGCCAGGTGGTTTGGGCGCTCGATTCGCAATCTGAGGGTCGCGGGTTCGAATCCCCTTCACACCAAACATGCTCGCCCTTTCAGCCG